TCACAGCTCAGTGACCCTCGGAGTCGGTGTAGGCCACCATCAGAGGCGTTAAGGTCGGGGCCCTGATCATTGACATGAAACCATTCCCTGTTTTTAATTAATAAAATCAATTTTTTTTTTTGTTGGAATGGTGAGTGTGGAAGGCCTTTGAAAAAAAAATAAAAAATAAAATGAGCATATGTTTAGTCATAAAATGCCTCGTACCCTACGGAACAACTGATATCTAGAAGCGATTTTAAATCTACCGTCCGTAAGGCCAGTCTAGTCAAGAAAAGTACAAGAATCGGCGACAGGCCTATCCAGGCCTATTCTTTAATGCCGAAGATACTATACTATACTGAAGAAAACAGCATGAGAACATATGCAGTTTTTGGTACAAGAATCGACTTAGAAACCATTATCCAGCATTGCCAAATAATTCGAATTTATACAGAATTCATAATCACACTTAAACCAGAAAAGACAAGAAAATTTACGAATTTTCACAAATCTTTTATAAATACACTAAATAAAAGTGGCAAAGTTATTAGTCTGAAAACATAGGGTAACATGGAGCAGCGAGCCCACTGCGGGTCATGGGCCCATAGCGGGTTTCTCGCTAAGTATGGCAGATATTGGTCCGTGTTCTCTACCGCCGGTCGACAGTTTCACAGGGATGAAGTGTACGGATTTACGTTTTGCTAAGTGTTTGTGTTATTAAGTTATTTGTGAATAACTGTTTTAGCCCAGATAAAATTTTTTTTGCTGCTAAATAAAACTGTTTTCGATTACTGTAGATGAAGCTTTTGAAATTACTGTGAATTATATTTTGAAAGTAATATTTATAGGGATAATTTTGAGATCAAGCTTAGACTATTAGCTTTTAAAATAAAATAATGACACGATATAAATTGAAATGATACCTAGTGGGGCAACGGGCCCAGGCGTGTCACGGGGCAAAGCGCCCATGGTGAATTCTTGTGTTATACATCATTAGATTTGTCTCAATGACCACTTCAAAACTATGTCTAGCTTTTTGAATTACAAATTACACTTCATATTTCATGATTTTTTTATTTGCCTCCTCAAGGCAAAATGTTTAGTTTCTAGATATGCGTATTTATGACCCCTTATCGCGTTATTGACTCTTGCCTTGTCAAAAGTTGATTTCAGTCAACACCAATGAGCCAAAAGTTGTTGAGTTTTTATGGTGTTGGCTGAAATCACGATTAGCTACGAATTCACTGCACATAATATATGGATTATGGACGAAACTGGAACGAAGTTTTTTTTTTCTGATCAACTAAATATATTTTCCTAGTCAAGGATACATTTTTTCATGTCAAGGACGAATTTTTTATCGCAAGGATATATTTTTCAAGTCAAGGATATATATTTTATGTCAGTGAAATATTTTTCTTCACGTCAGTGATAGATTTTTTAAGCCAAGAGTATATTTTTTCAAGTTAAGGATATGATTTTTTGAGTTGTTAATAACTGAATGAATGTCATATTTTTTATTACATTTTTCTTATTTTTAACTTTGTGAGTAATTATGGTTGTCTCACACAATCGGACAAATAAAGAGAAAAGAGTCAGCTGATATTTATTCAAATTGATTTGAACTTGCAACTGGCGTTGATCGGGCCAGTTGTATGAGGAAGCCGAATCTGACAATTCATATGCTGATGTATAGAAATCTTTGAAGAACGGGCGGTTCAATGAAGTGATTGAAAGCAGAATTTCAAGTTCCTTAATGGAGTTACCTCGACGAGTCCCGGATACTGAAATGAAAATTAAACTACTCACTAAAAAATTAATTGATCAGAAACTAGCTCTGTAGCAAACAATTCCCAATTATGAATCAATTAATAATCAACAAATAACTGAATTGACAAACCTAAGATTTAGGTGCATCTCAGTGCTTAATGCAGTTTGTAATAGGCAAATTAGAAATATAGACGAAATCAGTTAAAAGGAAGGTACTCTAGACGGAAAAATAGAAAAGGACAGTTTGAGATTTTGACTTTGGAAAATTGAAGATAAAGATTATGAATCGTGGGTCACAGCAAAGAAAACTAGTTCCTCTGCCAATATCAGAGACCACGTAGCTAATTCGAAATTTGAGATATTAATAATTGAATTGAATATTGATTTGACTAGAGTACCATAGAAAAAAATTGTACATAGAGCGTAAATAATTAAATGGAAACAAAGCCACATTCACACGAACAAAAAGATAGTGAAAAAGTAACCAGGAAGACTTTTAGAATTGCAGGAGCTGCTGTTGCAGTGCTGGCTGAAGTGAATATTCGTTCAGAAGTGAATAAACGAGAACTAGCTGAGTGGAAACAAAGGCACGTTACGTAATAGGACGTCTGAACGATATGGATGCTGATGAATGAATGCCTAACCTAGCGGTAACTGCTACCAACTTAAACTACGAAACTAAACTGAATACAACAAAACTGTGAATGCAACATGAACAGAAAACGACATATAGCCAACAAAATTTACAATGAACGACAAATATTATTAATGGTGGGAAAAATTTCCCACAACTGTAAAGTGTTGTTTTATCATTTTTAAACGAAAAATATGCAACTGTGGTAAAGGGACCAAGGGTGGGCGCCTTGCCCCAAGCCCATGGGCCCATTGCCCCAGGGGTGGGCAATGGGCCCACTTTGACACTTTTTACAAAATAGTGTTTCATTAAAAATTGAATAACTCTATAGGCATCTAATTCACACCATACATTCCTCATTAGTTGCACCTTTAAACAAAACAAAGAACCACCTCGTAGCAATTAAAACTTCATCAAAATTTCAGTCTAAAAAAGGGGGGGGACGCTGCTCCATGTTGCCCTATTTCTTTCGCCAGTCTGCTTCCACCAAGCTTTCAGTTGATGCGCTTCCTCGATGTCGGGGTCGATCTGAAGAAAAATTATTTTATCAACTTCATTCAAGAATGATTCATGGAACAATTTCAAGAACGTGAATTCTGAATGCTAAAAGTAAAATACCATTTCGCGGTAAACGACGTGTCAATTTATATGAATGATGCGTTTTGCTCAACCACGTATTCTCAATATTAGTCACCATAGCTCAGCAATTAGTTTCTATTAATGTAATGTGAGCAACACATGTTATACAATATGGAAGAGATGATCTGTTCCCTGAAATTATTAAGTTGACAGGAACAGTATTTTAAATTGGTAAACTAGGTGATTCACCTGAAGCCTGGAGCTTTGATCGAGAGTGAGTCCGCCATAACGCTTATCAATTTTAGCCCTTTTTATCGCTATCACGGGGTTGCTCTTTACGTCGAAATAATCCGTTTGTTCTTGCCACAGCGTCAAAAATATCTGGGAGAGTATAAATAAATCAAACGTACTCAACAGAATTCTGTGACGGTAATCAACACTAAGAAGGTAACTCAGTACAAGGTTTTCAAAAAGGTACCAAGTTATTGTTGGTCATATGATGGGAATTCTAACAAAACAATGAATTTTTTTTAAAACACATTCCGTATGGTTGATCCTTACCATTTCACAAAATCAGAAATCTTCCCTCCCACTAATTGTCCCTATTCTTCATGAATATCCAAGAAAAATTTATTTTATTATTTCATTTGAATTTCAAATTATAAATTTGACATTACTTTGGAAGTTAAGGGTTGCCCGAGGGCTGTCACTTACGTTACCGGTGCCGTCTTGAAGGTAGAATTTTCCCATACGCAGAGACCTGCCTGCGGAACGCCCTTTTGTACCAATTATTGGTTCTCCGTTAGGATGCGCAGTGGTCACGTCATGCCAATCACACACACCAATCACGTCTGCAGTAGAAAATCATGCAGTTAGAATACAATTGATTTATTTTCGCTTGAGATTTCTTTCTTGATGACTAATCATTTAAAATTCGTTGGATGGATAAGCAAATCTATCTTATTCCGTAGACTAGTAATCATAAGGTAATAATCCTAACTTCGAAAAGGGAGAAATAATTTAATTATTGATGATAAAAATAACCGAGCTTTACGACTAGCCGTTGCTGTTACCCGATAAGAAACCATCGGATAATTACAACAGCATTAAGTAAAATTATGAAGAAAAACCGTACCGACATGAGTGCACTTCTCAAACTTTGAGTGTTCTCTCTCCAGCTCGCCGAGGGGGACGAATTCAAACTGCAAAAAGGGAATGGCTTCGTCCATAGTGCAGAGTTCAACCTGAAAACCAATTTTGATGTAATAAAAGGGCACCTCGTGTCAGCATAATATTAAGATAGTCTTATTTTGAGCCAGATTCTCCCTCATACTGACAACTGAGCTTGCCTCGACCATGAAGTTGCAGTTTCATATGATAGCTGATGGCAAGATTCTGTAATCATTTCTTCAATAATTTTTTTCAAGTCAAGTCGAATTTGATAACCAATTATTTAAAGAAAAAATACTTGAATTGCAATCCTAAAATATTTTGTATGATCATTGGTAATGGCTCTCTGCCTCTAGATTTTACTTCTATAAGCCCATGCTCCCATTATCCCATAGGCACTACACTGTCAGTCTGTCACAAGACACAAGAATGCACCAGGTGTCAGGTGCATGGTATTTTATAGTCATTTTCTCAATTTATTCTGAGTGCTAGAATTTGTTAATGAATACATGGAGAAAAACATCCCCCAAGAAAAGTTTGAATACAGACATGTTTAAAAAAAATTATTTAAACAATTTCCCAATATCAGTAATACAGGATAACTAAATGAAAGAGGAAATTAATGGACCAAGATATCCAAGTCTAATAACCTGCATGACGGACAACTTCCATGTCGTAAAAATGAAAACTTCGATCATCCAATCACTTGAAAGAAGCTTGACGTCATTCCAAGTTATAACGTACGACAATGAATCTCAAATGAAAGTCCTCACCTTCGTTTTGTCTGTGAAGCGCACTTCGTAATCATGCTTGCAGGAATTAAAATCACTGGCTTTTTTCACCCATGCTGAGCAGAAGTAGTAGGCTTTGTTGACCTGGTGAGACATGGAGAGCAAACGTCGACTTCAAATATCAAAATTAGACGTATAGTAACAATGTTCGAATATGCACATATAGTTCATATATTACGTGTATAATCATTATTTGAATGAGTAATACGTATTATTTTTTAGTGTTTTTATAACATGTATATATCTCATCACATATTATATACAAACAAATCTGCAACAAATAAATTCATGGAGAACATTCTATTCTCATACACAAGCGCAGGTTCCTTCAGGATTCAAATCAAATTTATATTATACATTTGTTCTATCAAATAAATGATGGAAGTAGTTGAGTGTTGAAAGTATTATAGACAATAATGACGATGGATTCTGACCTCGATTTTATCATAAAATTGAGCACACTCTTCATCGAAGGCAACGGCTTGGATTTCCCCCGATTCATCAAGAAGTACCATGGAGAAGTAATTTTTACTTTTATTCATATACGAACGCCTTCCTGATTTCTGGATGACGCGGGCACAGATCGACCATCTGAAAAAGCATTAAATGTTTGTAAGATAATTCGGGTTATTTGAAAAATTTTTAATGAAAAAGCATTAAAACACTATGGTAGCCAAATTACCTGTTAAGTTGTTGTGTATGCTACAATTGACTTGCCACTAAATTTAACTGCCTGTGCTAGTCGAAAAATTTGTCTTCTTCGAAACCATGAATGTCCCCCTCAAGTGACAGCATTGTTCAAAAAATATAACTCATTACTCACTGCAGTGAGTGACAGAGAGCGCATTTTCTCGTCGACGAAAACGTGGTCACGGACGGACGGACAGACAGAGCCTTTTCCGTCTCGTCACGGACGGACGGACGGACGGACATGACGAGAACAATAGCGCCTTTTTTCCATAAATGAGAAAATGCGCTAAAAAGGAGACAAAAGCTGCCCGGGCAACTATTGCCCGGGCCGAACTAATGAGATACAGAGTTGGCTCAGAGACCGGGATGCCACACCGTTACTTGGCATCGGATGGCACAGAAATTGAAGAGAAGCAACTTGTTTGAGATCTCGGAGTGCTGATCTCGGAGTGCCACATCGAGAAAAAAGTTGCTCGAGGCAGACAAAGGATGGGGTGAATCTGGCGGACATTTCGACCAAGAGAAGCAGCGCCAATGATAACACTCTTCAGAACCCTAGTGCTCCCCAATCATGAATACTGCTGTCAGCTTTGCGCGCCGCTCAAGGCGGGTGCGGTGCAGAAACTAGAGGCAGTGCAGCGGACCTTCACTTACAGGATCAGCGGCATGAGGGAGCTGGACCTGAACTATTGGGTAAGGCTGGAATACCTGGGACTGTACTCTCTGGAGAGGAGAAGAGAGAGGAATATCATACTGTACACGTGGAAGATGATAACCGGACTGGCTCACAACTTCGAATGTGAGACCTGCAAAATTGTGACGTATTACAACGAATGGAGACTTCCCCCATTGCAGGATTCCACCATTCAATAACCGTGCCGCGCTCAGAGTACAACCGTTCGTTAGGGATCACTGTCCGTAGTAGGACCAAGGCTGTTTAACGCCTTACCAAAGGTGCTGAGAGGAGGGGAGTTTACCCTTGCGACTTTCAAGAGACAACTGTATAAGTTTCGGAAGAAAATCCCGGATTGTTCAGTTATGGGAAACTATCCACAGCAAGTAACAAGCAACAACATCTTGCATCAGCTGGCCCAAAAGAGGGCAAATATACGGAACATGTTCAACGTTAATCTGGGACCCGAGGGCGGGGTGACCTGCCTATCGACGATTTGGAGACAGAGGACGACGAAGGCGGAGCATCAGCTTGACCATGGACTATGTACTAAACTCATAAGGTCATAAGGTGAACTCGTACTCTAATCGAAAAATATTATTCCTGTTCGCCACTTTTTCAATTAATGCATAAGGATGGCGAATTGATACCAACTGCAGTTTTCCAACGGGATTTTTAGACAATATATATTTGAATGATTTGATAAACCCAATTCACAATTGCACTGGGAAAAATAAGGTAAAAATACATATTGCCTTAATTATCTTCATCTATTTTCAAGTCTTGTAAACAAAAACGCGTCTGCAATTGTATCGAAACGCATACCTATATTATTGATTTCATTTTCGTTCACGAGCAAAGTACGATGATGTAATTTAATAAATCTTGGAATTTATGTTTCTTCATATTTTCAAGATATTAATCTAGAAAATCATGCCAATCCATTGATTTACGTTATGTATGACGTGCATATGGTTTGCAATATTTGTTCTAAAATTATATATATACATTCGATATTCAAGGTTCCTGTGGCGATATTAAAATTTAATTCACTTTACATTAACTTGGTATAAAAATATAAAGAAAAATATTTGGCGCTTGTGAAATGTTTGAGTGTATAGGCTGACTGAAATGGTCACATCTATGTATATGCACATGTAGGTACATCATTCTATTTGTTGGTGCGATAACGTTGCATCAACGCTGGAAAAAGATTAAATTTCAAGGTGGCAAGATCAACGTTGCTCCAACGTTGAGAATAGGCTGTTCTACGTCTCTTCGAGTGTTGGTCACGTTTCGACGTCTATTCAACGTTTAATTTTGGTTGATCAACATTTCAAGCTGAAATCAACATTATTTCAACTTTAGATGCCTGCTGGGACGGCATATTTAGCATCAGATTCCATATCGTTATTGTCCGTATGGAAACCTTACATGAAACTTGTTGATAGCCATTGATGTTCATTCCTGTCTTATGCTTTTGAAGTGCAAAATGAACAACGAGAATTGATAACGTAAGTCTCATATTGCTATGAAGGCATGAGGTGATCTATTCTTCAAAATACGCGGTTACGTTGAAAAGCCAATAGTTAGAAGGATCGTGCTGTTTGTTCGGGCGGCCCACCCTAATTGCCTATAATAATATACTGTAATATAATAATAATAGCCTATATAAAAATTCAACGGCTAAACCCAAAGGCTTGTCTTGTCTGTCGAGATATTTCTCAACTGAAGTCTGTTCTAGGTCTCCGATAATTGTTGTTTTAGACGGGTCAGTTCCTCATGTATAAGCTCCATAGCATGATGAAGTTACATGAAGTATAGGGGCAGGAGTTATAGAACAGGGAACATGCTTGCGCATCCCCCTTATTCAGCCGTAAGCATTCATATACCAAGCAGTGCAATGTCCTGGCGTCCGATAGTGATTTTAGAGTTTAGCCTCCACAATCAGCGTTTCTGACCTTTGAATTTTAGAATCACTGTATATTTTTAAACAGAAGCCTAGTTTAAATGCAGATTTCAGTTCCTTCCTCTCCAAATTGTACATAAGTAGTTCCTTCTGCTCATGTTTAATTCATTTATGTGTGTTTTCTCTTTTCGATTTCGGTTCATATGTCCTCCAGTTTAGATTGTTTGAATGGGAATTTTAGGTTACTAATTGTTTGTACCCATTTCCTAGGTTTTGAAAAGACGATGGAGCAGGAGTTTTCTCTAAAAGGAAATAGGGAACTTTTTGGTTATTTTTTTTTTGCTTTCCAATTCCTGGCAAGTTACATTAACATTGACGGGAGTGTTAATTGTCCTAGGGTGTGCGGTTACATGAAAGCAGATCTCTTCCAGTCATCCATGTGAAAAATCTTGCTATTAGATTACAAATAAAAGAAATCCGTCTCAACTTTCTGCTCTTGATACAAATATACGTTGTTAGACTGAAAGAAAGTCGTTGTTTGACTGAAAAGAAGTAAGATTTTCAGAACTGCAACGATCTGTGGATGTTACCTTTGTTGTCTATTGCACCACTTAATTGTTTCAATATCCCAACGGCACAAGAAGAGTTTCAACTCCTACCGTTGAATTCGTGATTTTTGCTACTGCGACTAGTCACGCGTTGTTTTGATTGTGCTTCAGACAAAAGCAAACAGAGCAAGTTTGGAGCCACGTCCTAACAATTATATTAATATTGAATAAGCGATTGTGGCGTCGGTTCACAGGTGAACATTCCTTTATCCGAGCTCAAGTTTTCAAGGACATTATCCTTTGAAGAAGGTTGGGAAGTACGTTTAAAATAAACTCCGAATTCAGACCAGCCAGTATCGAAAACCGAAGTTCAAATCAATAGTGATTTTTTCGCAGGAGAAGAATCGTCCAAAACCTAGTCAAACAAGCGTTCAACCAAGTTTCAATCTCAAAAGGTCCAATCCGGAAAAACCAAGATTGCAGACAAATGGATGCTTCAATTGTATCATACCATCAACTACAACGAATCAGAAAGAACATGATGAACATCTTGCCTTTAAAAATCCCGAACCACGATCAAACAATCATGAAATAAAATAATAAAATATTCCACGTTGTTTGTGTTGGCTGGATTGATCAATTCGTTTGGTGAAAAATTCAACCGTATCAATAGGTTATATTCACTCAGTTTCTGAAGCTAATATCACAATTCGCTACAACTAAGAAATGATAGTGTGTATTTTTTCTTGCGTCCAAATTACCAGCATTCTACTTGTATCAAATCGACTTGCATCACCCACACAGCAAAACTGCGTGGTTATTACATATGTTTTTTCACACCGAAATGTTTTAACGTTTGTTAAAGTTTAAATTTCTTGGTAAAAGCGATTTATTATGTATAACATTTCATGAAAATTCTTACTTGCGCATATAGCCCTTAAAACTGAGAATTATCTTCTCGGAAAATGGCCGAAATAACTAAAGGAGGCAAAATGATGTGAAGATTTGCTTCAATGAATGCTATACTTCGTGAAAGAATGACACGAATCTAAAAGGGTGCCAAGCTTGATAGCCGAGAACGAAAAAGAATGTTATTATCATATAATTTCAAACTTGCCGATTCATACAAATTTCATATCCTATATATGTACAGCTGCGAAATATAATTTTCCAATTATATTTCATGAATATCAGGTTTTTATCATATTATGCTTCATTCAAAAAATATCACAAATTAGCAATGGTGCCATCTTGTTCACTCAGGAAATGTGTTGTTGAGGGTCGCGCTCACACTTTACTGCTAGGCACGTACGCAGGCATACGCCAGGCACGGTCCAGTCCAATATTCATTAATGCATTTCCATAGAAGCATTCACACCATGAGCTTGGCAGGTGCCTTGCATGGCTGGTGTGAATACTTCTATAGAAATGCAGTGAAGAATATTGGACTGGACAGTGCCTGGCACCGTGGCACGTGCCCGGCAGTATGGTGTTAAGCCGATATTAATCTACTGCATAAAATGTGCCTGGGCGAAAAAATACAAACGTGGAACTTGAACTGGTTACTTACTCGCTCAGGTAAGGTTTGAGTTTTCCTATGAGGCAGACATTCGGGAAGCCATCCGGTAAGCTGTCCGATGCCTGGGGAAATACGAGGAATCATTGTGTTATAGATGAGTTTTGTAACACACAAATATTTAATTATATCGAAAAACGAAAATAAATGAAAAAAGAAGGTGTCAATTGTACATGAAGTTTGTAGACAGTTTCATCGCTACAACTGTATTGTCAAATCTGTGTTTGAGAAATGATAAACCAATTAATAACTTTTGTAGAGCGTAGCGTACTACATGCTAGAAATGACCCTTTGCCTCAAGACTTTTGACTTTCTTTATTGATTAGCAATTATAAAATGTCGTATTGCCATTGGTTTATCTAAACTACAAATTAAAAAATGGCAACTTCTGATTTTGTATAAAATGCAAGCAGATAATATGAAATATACTCCTTAATCTAGCGGCGTATGAAGATCTGTCTAGATCTAGTCAATCTAGATCTGTCGACCATTCAATCGTATTATAACTGACAGAAATATTTGCAGCAGGAAGTTGCTCTGCCAACTTCACGATGTTAGAAGTTAGAACTAGACTGAGTAAAGATTTACGTGAGCGTGCTAGATGCAATACCGAGATGCAGTGATTTGAAAAAGATAAACGTACGATAACATTGTCATAATCAGTCTATGCATGTTGAGTAGCAAGCGACAGTACCCGAAATGCAGCCTACCAACAACATAAAGTGATAAACTTAACTACAAAAAAACGTGCCACTAAACTCGTGTTTAACACGTTGACTACGATTGCTTCATCTTGTACTATAATTTCATTTTTTGTACTTTTTTTAAGCAGGCTTGCCAGTCGGTCATTTTTTCCGGACAAATTCTGTGATTTAGTTTTTCTCAATTGCGTTGATCGGCTAAAATTTATTATAGGGGTACTTCCTAATTAAATTTTAAATACTGCAAAAAAGAAAATAAATGAAATTTCTATAGCGGAACCTACAAATAAACTATTATACATTGAATTATCGGCCTTTTTTGGCCTTTTTTGTTCTCGGATTTGGCCGATTTCAGGCAACCTGAATTATGTACAACTACCTACTGGAGAAATACATTTCGTGGTACGCATATGTACCAATACGTAGTCAACGTGTTAATTGTTTTGTAACTTTTAATATTAATTAATATTGACGCTACAGTGGCCTGTGATCGTTGTGGGAATATCATCTGCAACAATTGTGCAAAGTTGATCAAGACAGACTGCTCGGTTATTCGCAAAAACAAGTCAGTACACTGGTATTGCCAGGACTGCCAACAACCTGCACTTAGCGCTGTAAAAAGCGAAAAAATTAAGGAAGAGAAGTGCTCTTCTATGTTTTCTGTCTTAAAGGCCGAAATGGAAGAAACCAGCAAGCGAGAGTTGAGAAAGAGCCGAAATGGAGGATAACTACAAGAAAGAATTGAGCTTGTTGCGTAGCGAATTACACTCGTTACGAAACGGGCTGGTGAAAATGAAAGCTCATCTGCACAAAACAGAAAATAGCGATAACACAGAAGGTACAGACCGCAAAGAGGTCATCTCTGATCTCGAAAGCGAGAGCACTCGTGAACTGCTGGATAGAGAGAGAAGAAGACTTAACCTTGTTTGGTTTAACGTTCCCGAAAGAAATGCTTCGAATGCTGAATTCATTACCGATTGCTGTGCCAAGGCACTTAAGGGGAGCGTCTGGGTGGTGAAAAAACTTTTTTGTTTACAGACGGGTCGTTTTGAAACTTGGTACACATATGTAAAACAGAATTCTAAGACTTTTTTGTTCGTGTTAATTTTTCGAAAAAATGAAAGAAAACATGAAATTCTTAGAAAACGGCCCAAAAGGGGGTACCGTAGAAAACTATCTCCTTCTAGGATTTTAAAGCTATACCATCGAGACGCCTATCATTCGATTGCGTAAGGACCATATCTATCGATTCGTCGTAACTTTTTTTCGAATTTCGAATTTTTGCGGATGTGGGAGCATTTTTCCCAAAATTTTCGAGAAATTTTCGATTTTTTTCCAATTTCCGCCCCCTTTTTTCAAAATATTTTCAAAACTATAACGAAATTCTAAAAAAATTTTAATTACGAATCGAATGGTATATCTCCCATTGCTGTAGCTTCAAAACTCTAGGAGATAGGTTTGCCGTGACAAAAAGTTAACTTTTCAGGACAGCGCGACAAAGTCCCGCGCGCATAGGAATAGCCACTCAATGTAGCAAGGCTACGAAACTAAGCGTTACTGGAGCTTGATTCCAGTCAAGGATGGTGGGAGCGACTGCTAGCACACTACCCCGTAGGACGCCAGTCGGGCTACTGAAGCTCAGCTCTAGCAGACAGCCTATTTATAGTGCTCGGCGGCTAATTTCCCCTATCTAATTTGTTAAAGAACTCCCCCACCTCCTTCCATTTCATGATCTGCCCTGAACGCATAAATCAACGTACAGAGATGGTTTTGGTACTGTTGGATAGCTTAGAATGTAAGCTTTAAGATGAGACGTAAAACCGGAAAAGCTAAAATTTCGATTTTGGACCCAGACGCTCCCCTTAACGCCGTTGTGAATATAACGGCAAGCAAGAGGCTGCGATCGAAAGACGCTACCACCTGTAGACCGCTGCTAGTAACTGTGCAGGATACAGCCCAGCAGTCGGACATGTGCTTAAAGCTGCGAGAAAACTAAGTGAATTCACAGAATTTAATTCAGTATTTGTTAGGAAGGATGCTACCCTTTATAGAGAGAAATTTTTCCCAAGAAATGGCAGGAGAGACTCAGGCGGAAAAGCATGGAGACTCAGGTCAACCACTTTCACGATGTCAAGACAACACCGGCCGCACACGGTCAGTCAGCGGAGCTGGAAGACAAGTAAGAAGTCATGTCCATACATCCATGCCTGTAAATAATGTAAGAAGTAAACGCATGCATCAAAGTGAAAAAGCACAAAAGGCTTTAAAATGTTTTTACACGAACTCGGATTCCGTATTGAACACAATAAGTGAACTATTAACTGTGATCGAAAACGAGTGCATAGACATAATTTGTATTACAGAAAGACTCCCTAAAAATCAAGGGGAAAAATTGTACCTGTTGAATTTCAGTTGCCATGTTTTGATTGTTTCTATAACTTAAATGAAGAGCAGTGCGGTAGAGATGTAGCTTTGTGGGTTAGAACCTCTTATGGGGCCCAGCAAGTCAAGTTATCTGCAGAACATCAATCAGCTAGAAAATCAGTGTGGTGAGAACTTTCTCTCAAAGGCAAAGATAGCCTCCTCATAAGCGTCGTTTATAGATCACCAAGCAGTTCTTCTGATAACGATAAAGTACTAAACAGTCTTTTACCGAGCATGACTTTCCGTAGGTCACACACGATGTTCGTTGGTGATTTTAATCATCCAGAGCTAGACTGGATAGATGGATCCTCTCCAAGGGAAGAGAATCACCCAGATCCTTGTTTATGGAGTCAGTAAGAGACTCTTTCCTAGTCCAGCACGTTACCAAACCAACCCATTATAGAAGTAAACAGTAAAACAGACTCCCAATATTCTAGACCTGGTGTTTACTAGTGACGAATCAATGTTAGATGAGCTTCGTCACGAGGCTCCGTTGGGCAAAAGCCATCATCAATCTTTGTTTTTCAGACTAAGTGCTGTACAGGAAAGACGCCTCGGAAGCGTGAGCGTTTGAATTTTGCGAAAGGCGACTATGATAAACTCCGTGAAGCAGTGAATGCAGTGAATATTTCGAACTGTATTAAGGACATGAATGTGGCTGAGTCATGGTCACTTCTCAAGGACACGGTTATGTCTGCAGTTGATGCGTGTGTATCTAAAATTAAGCTTGGTGGAGCCAAAAAAACTAGGTGGATGAACAGTACAGTTTTAGCTAAGCTGAAAACAAAGAAGGAAGCATACCAGCGTTATTTACAGACTCGCAGCGATGCTGACTATAACCTATACGCAAGAGCTCGAAATCAAGCTAAAGAAAGCTGTCGCACCGCAGTAAAAACCCTCGAAAAAAGTATTGCTAAAAACGCAAAAAAGAACCCGAAAGCCTTCTTTTTGTATGCTAGCTCAAAGTGCAAGATGAAGGACGGTATTTCTGATTTGAAAGTAGATCAGCGAAAGATATCCTCTGATGAGGGAGGCAACAGGCCATGGGCCTATTTCTTCAACGCCGACACTTCTATTCTATTCTATTCTAACCCTTTTGTGCAGTTTCTTACGTCACCCCTATGAAATAAAGCGGAGAAAAATTTACTGGACTATTTATTTTTATCCCGTTGAGCCACATGCCTGTGTTAAGAGGACTTGAACAGTAGCCCAGCTATTGAGGAGCGCCCAGTCGGCTCTAAATTAACAAGTTTTTAAAGACAAGAAGAAGAGGTTCTCAAGCGCCTTATCGCTGTAAATCCAAACAAGTCATGTGGACCGGACGGCTTCCACCCCAGATTACTCAAAGAGTTAGCAACTGTCCAGCCGACCCTCTGACGTCATTTGCAAGGTAATGGAATCTGTTGTGAGGGATCGATTGATAGATTATTTGACTGCTGATAATCTCCTATCAGACTGTCAACATGGCTTTATTGCCGGGAGATCCTGCACAACTACCCACTTGTCTACTCTGAACGAATGGACCCGCCTGCTGGACGAAAGGGAGCCAGTAGATGCAGTGTACCTTGATTTTGTTAAGGCATTTGACAGTGATCCGCATGAGCGGCTGTTGCGCAAAGTGAAGTCTTCGGGAATTGAGGGAAACGTACTCCAATGGATCAGAGATTTTCTAGAAGGTAGACGACAACGTGTCAGTATTAACGGAACCGTGTCAGACTGGCATCTGCAGTGCGCAGTGGCGTGCCACAAGGAAGCGTTCTTGGGCCTATTTTGTTCGTTGCTTTTATAAACGATCTGCCAGAAGCAGTGTCCAGCGTGTGTTCCATGTATGCCGACGACACAAAAGTTTATAATACAGTGAAGGATGCGTAAAATAAAGCTCAATTACAAGATGACAGTTTAGTTAACTGGGCTGATACGTGGCAGCTGCGGTTTAATGCTGACAAGTGTAAAGTGCCTACTTCACCTCGGGAAGAACAATGAACAGCAAGATTATAGTATGAGAGGACATGGTTGCAACGAGAGAGTAACGATTGAAAAGTCTAGTGTGAAAAAACATCTCGAAGTTTATGTCGACAAGGAGCTGAAATTTTTCTAAGCATGTTGAAACGCAAGCTAACACATCCAACAAACTTCGTAGACTAATCAGACGGTCATACGAGTTCCTAGATGCAGAAGCGATGAAGCAGTTGTTTGTTGCTGTCGTGCGCCCGAATCTAGAGTTTGGAAACGTTGTGTGGTCACCGAGATTTGAAAAGGACAAAAATTTAATAGAGAATGTTAAAAGACGTGCAACAAGGATAATTCCAGGCTTGGAGGGCAAGTCTTGTGAAGAAAGATTAAATATTATGAAGCTTCCAAGCCTCAGTTATCGACGTCTGCGTGGGGACCTCATTGAAATATAGATGTATACTCATGATTTATAATATAAAAGTATACTCATGGTTTATACAGGGTCCCCGAAGGATTACTAGAATTTGAAACAAGAACCAACAACAGGGGCCACGGCTATAAACTAAAAAACTGCGCTGCTAATTCTCCACGCGACAACATTTATTCTCGCTTCAAATCACCGACATTTGGAACAGCCTTCCCGGTTACATCGTTGGCGCTCCAAGTATGAACACGTTCAAGAACAGACTAGATAAAGCTATGGAAAAATATATGTTCTGACTAGAAATGCCTAGCACCATATCGAACCCGGTAGAAGTCTAGTAGCTATTTCAAACTATCGTCAGTCCTGAAAAGATCCGGTCAAATGACACGATTTTAGATCTTCTGTGAACAAGGCACGAAAAGTAAAAGAATCGGCGATAGGCCACATCAGGCCTACACTGCAGCGCCGACATCGCTATGTCATGTTAATAATACGAGTATCAGGTAACATGTCGGAGGTGCGTGCGTTGGACTTGGAGGTGAGTTTGCGAAGAAAAATTGAAAATATATCACGATACATATCTTACATATTTATTACGATACATATCTTGAAAATTGATCAAAGTTTGTGGGTCTCTGGGAGTGTGTAACACCGCGATCATATATGAAACACCCATGATGCGTCTCAATCCCAGCTTCCTCAGGGTCGCTTCATCAATCCCAGCTTCCTCAGGGTAGCTTTTAATTTCACTACTAGGAACAAACGGGTTCTTCTTTACCTTTCTGCTAATCCACTTTGCATTACTGTCTGTTAGTTTATTTGGACGACCAGGTCTTGGAAGGTTTGCAATAGCATGCTCGGTGATATCAGGATGATAGCTTCCTGATGATATTTTCAACTGTACTTAATGATAGTTCAAGCTCTTTGGATATTATTCGATACCCCTTCCATTTCTTGTGACAATCTATGATCTTTTGACGCAAATCTGTCGCCAACTCTCGGGTTTTAGCCAATTTAAATTAAATTTTGAAGATGAAGCTGAATAATACCTTCACCGGAACACAAAATCTTGTAAAGAATAGCAAGCTGCTCTGATTGGCCAATTATATAACGATATGAGATTAGCGGAACGTTTAGAGTGAAAAACGAATTTGGAGTCCCTTAAAAAGTTATTTTTGTTCATTTTTAAAAATGTACCTAATACTTTTGCGTGGGTTAATTTTTCTACTTCTTTAATAAAATCTAAAAACTGCTTACTATCCTTTTTATATAATGTTTCTATAGTACCATTAGCAATATACTGACCAAATGTCAGGTAAAATCTTGCACTCTAACTTGAGATATGAAGAAAAGTGTAATGTATCCAATACTTTTGCGTGTCACTGCATTTTCAAATCAGGGGTTTCCTAAATTTTAGTTCAATTCTACTTACACAGAAGCTAAATAGTTTTTCCCTACACATATATAATGCAAAACGGCAAGCTGCGTGCCGCTTCGAAAATTAGATTTTTGAAACCACATAACAGTTTGTTCCGCATTCAATTTCTTAACTTACGAAACCGCGCTGGCAGATGCCTTATAATAACGCGAAAAAAATCAAAATTATATTACAGGTATCTTAAAAAGAACAACGATATATTTAACATGGAATAACAATAAAATTTCACGTGTAGGGGCAAATAAATTAATATTATGCACATCTAAAATTATTTGAAGTTTAAAGATTTTGTGTCGCATTACTTAAACAAGACACTGAATTCAATCTAGATTTATCAATTGAGTAGACCATTTATTCGTATTATAACTTACAGAAATGTTTTCAGCCGGAAGTTGTTCTGCCATGTTTTCAATGAAGTTCAGACTTGATCCGTGTTTCCTTATGTTTCGGAGTCCAAACCTGCACGTACAGGATTCTATAAGAGTGCGAACATACAAGACATTGAGATCATAGAATGATAATTAGTTTAATGAACACAGTTCCAGAAGGGAGCTGCTTAATTTCAAGCGAGTGGAGCATTCAAGACATGAGGCCAATCGTACTCTACTTAATCTAATTAATCTCATCGGTCTGTTTCACGATCTTAGCCGATTTCATAACTTATAGCATCAATATAAGGTACATATAATGCATGGAACGGGTGATCATGAACCGTCGATGGAGTTACATCTATCTGACCACAAGTGATGCTAACCGATTCAAGGTATTCAGTAATAGCAAAAACAAGATGACTTCTTGAGAATCTGACAAGAGGCTACCAGTAGGTTACTATAATATAATAATATTAATAGCGGTTTCAGCGTTTATTAGGCCGCAGGCCTGTCGCCGATTCTTAACATCGCAGAACATTCACAGCATTTCGCGGTCTTGAACTCGCAACTCACTGCTACAATTCTGCTGTGCTTAACCGCCCGGCCTTCTTGCCGATTCTGACCAGAAACTGACGCACAGAGCGAACCCGCGCCTCTCTGCGCCAATCTTGGTACTCTGAACTTTAACCACTGGGCCACCCTGCCTAACTACTGGCCTAGTTTACATTCTGGCTGGCTGCATTTAGTAATTAACTACTGATAGGTTACTGGCCTAGTATACATACTGGCTGAATGCACGGTAATTAACCTGACCCAAGGCAAATTCGCACAGATTCATTAACTTACGGTCTTATTTGAGGGTCTAGATACTCTAGAAAGACGAACGTGTACTTTGTTCAATGTTTTTCTAACGAATAGCTTTTTTTCTACTACAATACCTGCAAATACATGGAATACAGTATTTAGATTGAACCAAGACCAGTTCACTTCACAGCACGGCAGCTTTTCTGACAATCTCGTACATTCTCATATAGACGATATTCCCATGCAACCAATCACACTTGACACGTATTAGCCTAAACGAGAAGCTAAATCAATTTACGATGATTAGAATGATCATCTGTAGAAACTACCGGTAGCAATTACAATGCCTTCTCCACAAGAATTATATTTTAGGGCAGAACAGAAACTACTAAATCTAGCTCATGATAATTATCGCTGTGAGTTGACGCTGCATGGTTGACTTGCTTTCTTTCTTTAATTGGAATTTATGGGAGCCTCTGAAGACTGGTTCAATGCGGCCCCATGTCAGAACGGTTCAAGGAATTTGACTGAATTTTGTTTTCAGGTACAAAATTGGGTGTCTTGAAAAAAAGCTGAAGATTTCTCAATGGATGAAGAGCTGCAGAACGGGGCCACCAAAGTGGAGACCACGCCGGGGCAGAGAGCACCACTCCAGGGCAGAAAGCCCCACTCCAGGGCAGAAAGCCCCACTCCAGGGCAGAAAGCCCCACTCCAGGGCAGAATAGGTGTTCAGGAGTTAAACTTCACTTTAGCTGGTCGTAACTCGTACCATTCGCCGGCTCAACGCCTCGGAGCGGGACAGCAGAGCATTTTCAAAGTTCAAGAAAGATAGTTCCAGAACAATGACGTAGCAGCCGGCCGAAGCCGGCTACTGTCACGGGAGCTCAGCACAAGAAACCTCTTGCCTCAACGGTTAGAACAGAACTCCCGGTTGACTTGCTTAAGGGGAGCGTCTGGCCTAAAATTTTGGATTTCGGCTTTTCCGGTTTTTAGTCTCATCTTGAAGCTAACATTCTGACCTATCCAACGGTACCAAAACCATCTCTGCACGTTGATTTATGCGTTCACGACAGATCGCGAAAGGGTTAAGGGTGGTGGAGTTATGTAACATATAACATACGAGGAAATTCCCCGCAGTGCAGTTAAATAGCCAGTGTGAACAGGCTGTGCTTCAGTAACCCCCCTGCAGTCGTTTGGGACTGTTCTCGTGAAGTCGTTCGCACCATCTTTGACAGAAATTAAGCTCCAGTATCGTCTAGTCTTTCCTCCTGGCAACATCGAATGGCTATTTCGAGGCGCGCGCCACTTTGTAGGGCTCTACTGAACATCCACACTTATTGTCACGGCAAACCTATCTCCTCCTACAGTTTTGAAGCTACAGCAATGAGAGATATACCATTCGATTCGCAAATAAATTATCTAGAGATTGGTCTTAGCTTTTTTCAATTTCGTTATAGTTCTGAAAGTATTTTGAAAAGGGGGGGGGGGGAAATAGGGAGAAATCTAAAAAAATTTGAAAAATTCCCAAAAAATGCTCCCCCCACCCACAAAAATTCGAAATTCAAAAAAAACTAAGACCAATCGATAGACATGGTCTTTACGCATAGAATGATGTATGTCTCGATGTTGTAGCTTGAAATTTCTAGGAGATAGTTTTTCTACAGTACCCCCTTTTTTGGCCGTTTTCTAAAAATTTCACGTTTTCTTTCATTTATTTCGAAAAATTGGCATGAATAAAAGCTGTATATTTTTCGGTTTTACATATTTGTATCAAGTTTCAAAGTGATTCGTCTGTAAATAGCCAAGATAAATTTTAGCCAGACGCTCCCCTTAATTGATTCAAAATCAATGGAATGGATCGATCAAACAATGATTAAATAACAGACATTCTGTGATATGCCGCTGGCTTAGGGAGGCGCTCATCCTGACAATGTTACATACAACTTCACATAGAATAGAATAGAAGTGTCGGCACTGAAGACATAGGCCCGTAGCCTGTTGCCGATTCTTGTACTATTCGTGACTTGATTCCACAAGGGGTCGGGCCTTTTGAACCCGATCGTTCCTTAACTGACGATTGATTGAGATAGCTGCTGGACTTATTGCAAGGCCCGTAAGGTGCTAGGCAATTCAGGACAGAACATATGTCCCTGCATAGCTTCGTCTAGTCTGTCCTTGAAGGCGTTCACACTCGGAGCGTCAACGATGCTACCAGGGAGGCTGTTCCACATGTTGGTGACTCGAAGCGAGGAGAAATGTTGTTGTTGTTGTTGGTTGCGACCGTCACGCTCGCCGGGGGGGAGGCTCTGGTGGCGGGCGGGGGGCCGGAACCGGAAAAGGAGGGAGGTGGACGAAGGCAGGGAGGGTGGCCAGGAAAGCCGCTGCCTCCACGGGGCTGTCCCACAGTGAGGAGACGCTGAGAGACGTGGAGAAGGCGGGGCAGACGAAAAGGTGCTGAACGGATTGGAGGGGATCCCCGCACTCAGGGCAGGCGGAGCTAGGGGAGCGTCCGATCCTGGCGGAATAGGACGCCAGGGAGCTGCAGTATCCCGAGCGGAGCTGAGATAACGCTGAGCGGTATGGGCGAGGGAGTGAGGTCTCCGCTGAAGCAATCAGCGGTGGCGGGGCAGCAAGGACAGCGTTTATGGCGGCAGTCGCCGCCACGCGGGAGGTAATCTCCCTGCGGAGAGACCGCTTGGCTTCACCGTATGTCCCGGCAGGCAGGATACCATTTGTCAAGAGTGGTGTGACAAGATGGCCGAACCTCGAATGTATCGAGGCTTTCATAGGGCGGTCACCCAGAGGGGCAGAAACCATGCGAAAGGAGGCATGGGAGGGCTGGAGGGCGCTGGCGAGGAACTGGGCGCAGGCCAGGTCCAGGTGCTCGGGCAAAGGGAGGACGCCGGTCTCCTGGTGCAAATGGGAGATCGGGACCATTGCCAGGGAAATCCATCTGATATGGCAACAGCGCCACGTCATCATAGCTAATTACTAGCCGCAGGTATCCGCTGTTGTTAATTGTCTCTTCAGAACTCGTGGGAGGTGGATAGCGCGCTGCTAGTCGTCCACCTTCGGTAAGACCGACATTTGATTCCTAGTAGTTTACCTGCCTTACTCGTCGTTGTCAATGTATCCAGTTAGATTATCACTTGTGTTTAGTTCACTTGTAATCGCCTCTGGCTCCTCTTATCATGCCTTCCATTTAGACCCGAATGTTCCAGACCGGCGATTGCTAACCCATGCATTCTATGACAGATAGACCCACTGACTGGCCACCAGAGGGCTACTCATCCACGAGTAAACGTACCGGCTCCTCATCTTCATCATCCTCCTACCTGGCAGTTTAAGAATCTGTTGCGTTTCTGTCACCTCCCTTGGCTTGGTTTGGTTGCTCTCGAGCGGCTGTGGACCCGATTGGCTGGACTAACTCAGGGACCGTAATTTGGGATCTTCCAAGCTTCACTTGGATCTCTGGAGTGAGTCCTGATTCCTTTACAACCATTTTGAGGCAGCCGGTGGCTAGTCTCAATGCAGTATTCTGTATAGTCTGCAGGCTGGCAACTGCTGCGCGGGAGGCAACAGGGAACCAGATGGGGGCCGCGTAATTGAGAATTGGGCGCGTGATGGCACGGTAGGTGGCAACTATGTCCTCCTTGGAGAAGCCCCAGTTGGTGCCAGCAAGGGCTTTTAATATGCGGATGGAACCCGTCGCTTTCGTGGCTATGGCTCTTGCATTAGGGGAGAAAGTGAAGTGTGTATCCCAGGTGACGCCTAGGATATTGGGGGTTTTGTCCAGTGGGATGATGCCGTTGCAGATGGTGGCAGATGGGTGGTATCGGGATTGGTGCGTATCTGGGGTGAAGAGCGTGACCGAGGACTTGCCAGGAGCCACGGCCAGTTTCTTGACTGCCGACCAGTCTGAGACGTTACGAAGGAGCGAGACAAGCTCGGCCTCCGCAGCGTCGAGTCTCGGGGACGTCACGAAGATGGTAAGGTCGTCCGCGTATGAGGCAATATTGGGGGTAGGCACTGGGACGTCGGAAATGAAGTGGTTAAAGAGGGCTGGCGAGATCACCGAGCCCTGGGGAACGCCTGAGTGGATGGCTCTGACAGGCGATTGGGTCCTGAGATAGAGGCAAGATGCCTGCCTGCCTCGGATGTAGCAGCACAGCCAGCGGACCAGGTTGTGATTTAGGTCCGAGGCCGCGATCATGCTCAGGAGGAGGGGGTGGTCGACACTGTCGAAAGCCTTCGAGAGGTCGACCGCCGTGGCGACTGTGCGGGCTGGAGGGCGCCGCGAGTTAAAGCCCGTCGTGATCTGGTGCGCGAGCGGGAGGAGGGCGGTGACAGTGGAGTGTCCCGGCTTGAAACCATGTTGCGAGGGGACGATAGTGAGAGAACCCGAGATGTAAGGGAGCACAAGTCGCTCTAGGATCTTGGCTGCAGGGCAGAGGAGGGAGATAGGGCGGTATGAAGAGCCCTGGTTACCGGGTTTGCCCGGTTTGAGGATTGGAATAATTATTGAATTTTTCCAAATGGATGGAATAGAGGCTGTGGCGACGGAGATATTAAAAATGCGGGTAAGGAATTGAATACCACGTGGTCCGAGGTGCTTAAAATGAAGGACCGTGAGCCCGTCCGGGCCCCGAGCGGACGAGTCCTTGGCAGCCGCGATAGCGAGCTTCACCATGTCGGGTGTGAACGGGGAGAAGTCCCTGTCAAGGGGATGTTCCGCCCGGATTCTACGTATGAGGCGGCGGGTGGAGGGGATTTGGGAGTGGGAAGCAAGCGAAGTAAATAACTTGCAGAAGGCGGAGGAGATCTTGCGCTGAGATGAGAGAGTATTCAGACCAAATTGGATTGGCTGATTGGGGGGAGGGCGGTTACGCTTTCCTGCTAGGGAGCGTAGGAGATTCCAGTGCTTGGACTGGTTCGTGCGCCTGCAGCACGACGCAAGGTGTGTTCGCCATGTGTTTCTGGCGTGGGCCTGGATGGAAATACTAATTTCCAGGTTGAGATCTGGGAGCCGGGGGTCTGTTGTATAACGTGCCCTGATGTCATCCCGTTGCTAAATGAGCAACCGGGTGCCAGGGTTGACCGAGGGGGAGAAATCCTTACGGAAGCCGGCAGGGATATGCTGTCTGGCTGCAGCAATCAAGATTTCCCTCAAGGT